TATAGATCCAAACCCAATCGCCGATGGCGTAAGTCGGAAGCTTGTGTAAGGCATCCGAGAGAGCGGAATTTCGCCGCTCGATCCGAGAAACGGATAATTTGTGCTGTTCGCGCACCAAGTCGTAGNCTATTGTACGCAAACTCCACATGAGGGAGATGAAGATCCCAATCATCTTGCCTTTCATTCATAACCATGGCAAGCATTTGTGCCATAGTGTGGTTGACTCGCTCGACACCACCGTTTCCATTAGGATGGTATGAGCTGGTGGCCACTTTGCGAACTGCGAGACGTTTGTAAACGGCGTGGGACAGTTTCGAGCAAAGCTGTGTGCCGTTGTCCGATAAAAGACTCGAAGGGCAACCCTACAAAGGGATATACCGATTCACTAAAATATCTGCAGTACCTTCGGCGTTAAACTCTGCGGCCGTAACGGCGTACATATCAGCACGTCGACTAAAACGATCGGTGAACAGCAGAATGTACGTGTGACCCCGAGGGGTGGTCGGCAGTGGGCCGAAGTAATCGACACTCACGGACACTCCAGGTCCGGAGGTCAGCGGGAGGCTTAGAATCGGCAACCGGGCTGTTTGTCGAGATGTTTTGCGAGCTTGGCACCGCAGGCAATGACGAATCCACCATTTGGTGCAAACGCTCATGCCAATCCACCAATAAAAACGTTCTAACATCGACAGTGTTCGCGCCGCACCAAGATGGCACGAAGCATTAGCGTGGCACACCTGCATAATCCACGAACGCATCAACATAGGGACGTAAACCCGGATAGGTTCGTCGTTGAGTAGACGCGCAGCGCGCCCACCAGGGCCCGTGGAAGCGGCAGGTGTGGATGTAGTCGGTTTCTTTACAAGAAGCGCCACATCATCATCGTCGACGTGTAACCGGCCTTTATGCGCCAATTCACGGATGTCCGAAAACGAAGGTCGACGATGTAGCGGAAGGTGGTTAAGAAAACCAGGTGGCAACTCGGAAGGTTGGCCTAGAAGGAGGCAGCGTATGGCCGCGTCACACACGGGTTCACCGCGTTGTTCTCGCGTCCAATCAGAATGAGAAAAACTCTCAACTGATTCACGAAAATCGAGCTCCACGCCCGAAAGCACTGGAGCATCAGCAGCCGGCGGGACATGCGTAGAACCAAGGAATGGTCCAGACGCGTGCGTCGGAGGTGGCGGGTCCGAACGAGCTGAAATCTCCGGAATCGGATTCAGCGGCGCCGAGGCGGCGGGCTCTACCGGGCTGGAAGCCGAAGATGGTCGAACGGGAGGCGTACGAACCACAGACGGAGGAATAGTCGGCCCGAGAGGCGCGTCTTCCGGCTGAGAAAATCCAAAATCCACAGCCGGGCGCGGAACACCTGCTGCGGCAGCAGCACCGCTGCGGGTCCTCGTCGAATGAGGTCGGTGGGGTCCAAAGGACGCCGGGACGGAGCACCAGAGCGGGAGGAGACAGTGGTAGACGCCGCTGTTGCGTCCTCTACTGGAAAAACACCAGCAGCAGCCGAAACTGTAGCGGTGCCTGGCACAAGCATGGGCGGGCGGTTACGAATGGTTGCAGAGCCCGAGCCGCCATTTACAGTCGGGGGTAAGGCTCGAACAGACCAGACACCCAAAGGAGCTCCGGAGTCAGCAACACCAGCTCGTGTCCCACGCTCACGGAAATCAGCAAAGTCAGTTGAAGGAGGCGGTAGCTCAACCAAGACTGAACTCGGGGCGGACGGGGCGAGCCCACCCAAGCCGACACCTGCTTGGTGGCCCGAAGGCACAAAACCACAAGAGCGGATTAAGTACACCGCTTCGTCTTCGGCGGACGGAGTCAGACGACTGCGGCCAGAACGGTCACGCTCGGTCGCTTCTATTGGCAATCGAGAAAGGAAGTCGGCGTTGCCGTTTGACGAACCCTTGCGATACTCAAGAGTGTAAGAGTACGCTGTGAGGAATTCCAGCCAACGTTGAACGCGGGCGTTGGTTTCCCCCACCTTCGCAAGGTGTTCAAGCGATTTGTGGTCCGTGAAGATCTTGAAATGAGTGCCCCATAAATAACCACGAAGGCGCTTGATGCACCAAACGATACTGCCAGCTTCAAGATCCAGAGGAGTCCAATGGCGCTCAGACTCTAAAGTAGCTCGACTATCGAATACAATCGGTCGAACGGAACCATCAGGTTGCTCCTGTTCCAAAGTCCCGCCAAACCCATCTTTACTCGCGTCATAATAGAGGCGAAAAGGACGCGAACCGTCGGATACAGCATCCCAATCCGGATACACCAGAACAGGGGGGCTCGCGAGTTCTGCGAGAAGTTGTCTGACGGCGGATTCCATTGAATCCGTAAACTCAAACTTCACATTCTTCTTCAGAAGAGTCGTAAGGGGGCGAACACGCTTAGCCATCTGTGGGAGGAATTTCCGGTAATTGCTGAGACCACCCAGCAAAGCTCGAAGTTGCTTGGTGTCTATGGGCATCGGCATCTTGGTGAGCGCAATAACTTTGTCACCATTTGGCCGAACACCGTCCGGAGAAATAGTGTGCCCAAGAAACTCGGCTTCTGTGGCGCCAATTGTAGCATTCGGAGGGGTCAGTTTCAAATTGTGTGTACGCAACCTTTCGAAAAGAGAGCGAATGGTCGCTACATGAGCGGCTAGGGTCGCATCAAAAACGATGAGGTCGTCCAAATACGACGCAACACCTCGAAGATTTTTGATGACTTCGTTGACGACCTTGCAATACCATCCTGGGGCAGCAGCACTGCCCTGCGGCATTTTCAACCACTCAAAAAGTCCAGAAGACGTAACAAACGCCGTGAGAGGGATGGTATCACGATGAACCGTGATTTGGTGGAACGAAGATTTCATGTCAAAGAGAGAATAGATCTCTCCCTTTAACAATTTCAGAGTATCATCAACTCGAAGGATCGGGAGCTGACTAAGAGCACATAGCTTATTCAACTTGCGATAATTCACGGTGATGCGAACACCACCAGATTTCTTGGGTATGACAACCAAAGGACTCGAGCATGGAGACGTCGAGTGTTGTATAAGACCCGCGGCAAGGTATTGGTCGAGAATAGCGTCCACCTGTTTCGCAACTGGAGGGCTAACTCGGTACGGGCGAGATGTAACTGGCTCACTGCCAGGGGGAACGGTCAACTTGAACGGAAACAATGAACAAGAACCGAAATCCGTGGGCGAACTGGAAAACACGTCATGGTATTCACACAGAACATTACCCAACTCCGTAATTACGGCCGGCGTCCAACCAGGACCATGCAGGTGACACGAAATTTCTCGCAAGTGATGTGGCAGTTTGTCCCACACACGAGAGAAGCTAACACGTTGTTCCGATGTTAAACGTGCCAAAAGGGCCGAAGGTGGCGAAGAAAAGGTCGTATCCGAAGAATCTGGACCAGTCGACGCACTTGGCTGTTTGTCGGTCTGCCCGTGCAGATTTTATACAGACGTATGATCCGCCTGTGACGCTGCCGAACGGCACCCGTTGTTACTACAGGCAGGACCAAGGACCCTATCATCGGGAGTCTGCGGAACGGCAGCGGTCGGAAGACCATCGTTGACGTTGTCGCACGGAAACTCACTAAGGGGGACTTTGAGAAGGGGCGCCGAAGCGGTACCCAAAACATCTCCTGGTACCAAAGTCGAAACACCCGCCAATGGCACACGTTGGCGGCCATGAGCGACGAAATGTTCTCCGGAAGAAAACATGGATGTTTGCGGAAACATATCCACCATATAGTTGCCTACAAGAGCAGGAGAACCGTCACTGCGAACCAAATCAACTGGGACAAGTTGATGTTCAGGTAGCAATTGAATGGAATGCCGGCCAGCATACCGAAGCTGGAAACCTCCCTCCTGGGCAGAGACATCATGGACGAAAGCTTCAGCGCCACCCTGCTTACGATGGGCCAAAGTCAATTCTCCAAAAACGCAATCGCCAGGGCGTCTCGTCGGCAAGGCACGGTAGGAGCGGTCGCTAAACCGCATCCAACCATCTCTACCGAGCAATACATCATGTTGCATAACACCGTCAGGCACAACATAGGCCCAAACGGCGAGAGATGCTGTCGGGAATTTTCGCCGAAGAAACTGTATGCTCAAACGGACCATGGTCGACGGTTGAAGGGGGGCGGACTCGCCAAACCCACCCCAACAAAGAGGTTGAGTGCGTTTTTCAAATAGCGATGAAGCTGCACCCTTGACTTTCATGGTCTCCCAAGTCCGAGAACTAACAAAAGTCTGTGGCGAACCAGTGTCCAACAAAGCCGCGCATCCATATTGCGTAGAAGCCGAGCCACAATGGGTTAGGATGCGTGTAGTGAATGAGTCATCGTCAACGGTGATGACACCGCCGACTAAACTCGGAACTTGCTCAGGGAGCAAAGGCGACGGAGGACCAGAATGGTCAGCACCCCGAGACACAGCCCAAACGCTGGTGTCGTGATCGGACGGCACACTAGTGGCGTATTGCGAGAATTTCGCAAAACGCGCCGACGACGGCGGCACTGACGCCGTCGATAACCGTTCATATGTGGAAGGGTAAACTTCGAAAACGGTACGGCGATCCGATGGCGGCGCGGGTGTTTTACCCAAAGCCGACAAGCGAGAACTGCGTTCTGGCGGTGTGGCGTTTGATCGNATAACCGTTCATGTGTGGAAGGGTTCACTTCGAAAACGGTACGGCGATCCGATGGCGGCGCGGGTGTTCTACCCAAAGCCGACAAGCGAGAACTGCGTTCTGGCGGTGGGGCGTTTGATCGTTAAAGTTGGCGAACCTTCTGTAAAACTTTTCCAACAAATTTAGACCACGCCAACGGGACGGACGACAAGCGTCAGGGTGATCAGCCCGATGGCCGATCCCCCAAATGAGGTCCCAAGGGCTGGCTTCTGCTAAAGTTTATCGGCGGAACCAAGGAGGTGTAATCTCATCTCTGGATTTTGGCTATATTTAGCGTAAGAACCGGTCAGCACGATATGTTCGCGCTCCTGCTCCCAGAGAGTTTGGTTAAAATTGTGGACCGCACGGCCATACTGTTAATGTAGGCAGGGGTCTGAAACTCTCATAATGTCCTGCAAACATTCGCGGTCGCCAAAAAGGCGAGCTTTTTCTGCAGCAAAAAATTTCTCTGCACACACATAGGAAACACCACCAACAACAAAGGTAGAAGGAGTCCATTGGCAGAAGGGAGAAGGGGATTTTCAAAATAGGTCCACGTCTGAATTGGAATACTCTTGAGTAGCATCGTAATCAACGCCCTCCGAGAACGGATGATGACTAGGAGTAAGAGCAGGATTGATATCCACTGCTTGAGGACCTGAAGTGGGATACGCCTGGACAGCAGCAAGGCCGACATCGTTCGCAGATGGGCCAGTGTCAGGGGTATGGGCAAGGGAATTACATCCATTGCTAAATTGTCTAAATCAGGGGGTGGGTCCATCGGAGAATTCGAATCCACTGCCAAATTCGCCGAGATAAACGGGGGCGCCACGCTTAGTATAGGGCTGTCCGTTTCTAGATCTTAGACCGCACCCGCATCCGTACCGGACCGGGGGGAACATAGATCGCTTTCGCTAGGAGCGGCCACCAATGCGGTGTCTGTCAATACAACTGTGGACGGTGCAAGGTGCTCCTGGCCGGTCCTCCGTGACAAGGATCGCGAGCATACCGTAGTTACGGCGGGCGTCTCTGAAGCGTCCTCTGGAGACGGTACTGTCAACACTCTCAACGTCGATCGCGGGACGTTCCTGGTTTGCGTCTCTGCACGATCGTTCGCGTTGGAAATTGGTGGGGTCTGCTTAGCCCCACCGGGCGAGAGTCGTCGATCGGAACAAGACGAAACCGCTACCGGTGTTGCGGCGGCTGGCGGACCAACGGCGGCAGCGAGCGCAGACGAATCACACGTATCAGAAGACGCATCAAAATTGACCACTTCTGACGAATCCTCCTCAATCGCATAACGCGCGTTGCTCTTGCCGGTCTTTTCTGCAGACGCCGGGGGGAGCTGCCGAACTACACTCAGTGGCCCCGCGTGTCTGGTCGCTCTGTTCCCACAGCTCAAGACGGCACTCGTCTCGGGCGAGTCATTTCCCGAAGGAGGAGCCATCCAACGAGGCGAAGTAGCAGAGGCCGCAGGCGAAGTGTCGAAGGGCAAAAGGGGAACATCATCGTCCTTTGCATTCCCAGTCCTAGCGACAGAATGTAAACAAGAATCAGCGGGTGTAATGACACCAGCATTTCGCAGGGCAGGAGCACNATCGAAACAAGACGAAACCGCTACCGGTGTTGCGGCGGCTGGCGGACCAACGGCGGCAGCGAGCGCAGACGAATCACACGTATCAGAAGACGCATCAAAATTGACCACTTCTGACGAATCCTCCTCAATCGCATAACGCGCGTTGCTCTTGCCGGTCTTTTCTGCAGACGCCGGGGGGAGCTGCCGAACTACACTCAGTGGCCCCGCGTGTCTGGTCGCTCTGTTCCCACAGCTCAAGACGGCACTCGTCTCGGGCGAGTCATTTCCCGAAGGAGGAGCCATCCAACGAGGCGAAGTAGCAGAGGCCGCAGGCGAAGTGTCGAAGGGCAAAAGGGGAACATCATCGTCCTTTGCATTCCCAGTCCTAGCGACAGAATGTAAACAAGAATCAGCGGGTGTAATGACACCAGCATTTCGCAGGGCAGGAGCACTTCGCTCCACCATCCCTGATACACGTACATCTTGTTAAGAACGTGCAAAATGTCCCGATGGTGCCGAAGGCGGGTCGGGGGAGGTGCACGAACCGCCACCGACGGGTCACTTGGAACCACGAGCATTGTGGCCATTCTGACCGCCAGATTGGAAATTGCTCGGTTGTCTAGCGTTGTAATTCGACGAGACAAATACACTTGGAGAGCCTGTCTGAGCCGATGACTGCGGTCTCTATGTAGGAAGAGCACCAGTGTGGTGGATATTGTCTGAAGACGACTATCGAGAGGTGTTAGCATAGTTTCCAGTGTTGCGACCATCATTCTGGGAATTACCGTTGTTACGGTAGTCGCCTGCGTGATTTCGACGCGAGGACGAAGAATGACGTTTGTTACGCCCGCCACCACCACCCGAACCGGTGTGTGACTTACGACGGTAAGACCGCATGCGACCTTGCCAACGTCGGAAAGCGTCAGAGTTGTCGTGCAGCTCGCCTAGTTCTGGGTTGAGCAGACCACTAGTCAAAGGAGCTAGGCAGTGTTTCATGGAGTGGTCTTCACTAAAACAGTTCAAACAACGGTTTCGGTTCTCTCGGAACGCGTGCGAGCGAGCGTCTTGTGTCAAGAGAGGCGTCCACAAAAAGGATCACCGGTGTTGCGAAAAGAGGAACTGACTTGGTACACATCTGACCAATCGCCCTGTTTAGCTGGCCACGCATTGTAATCGCGGGAAAATGGATCATTACCGCCATCCTGTGACTGAACTGCCAAAACAACAGGATTGTGTGCAGAACCTTGTGCCCGCCGGCCCGAAGGCGCAGGTGCAGTGGCACGGTTCTGGGAACGCCGGGGCTGCGAGGAGCCAGGCGTAGAGGACAAAGAAAAATACTCTGAACCTCCTATTGCGGGGGTTTTGTTGGTGGCCAAAGGCGCGAACGCCTGCCACATTGCATCAATCGAATCAAACGGTGTCACGGCCGTAGCCAGGTCACCAGGGTACAACATCGGAGCCAAAGACGGAAACTGCTTACTTACAGAATTCCTGACAATCTCAAGCACCATCGATACACTAGGAGCCAAAACACGCTCAGACCCGGTCACCGAAGAAACCAAAAGACGGAACGCCCTAAGGTAATCCGCAAACAAGGTTCCATTCGAAACACCAAACTCCTGAAGTCGCAAAAACGACTCCTGTCGATCTCCGACATCGAATTGCTCCGACAGCAGCCGCAGAAGGAGCGTGAAGGCTTCCGGGCCCGTGGCTCCGTCGTCCAGCCTCCGCTTCACTTGCTGAAAANACTCCTGAAGTCGCAAAAACGACTCCTGTCGATCTCCGACATCGAATTGCTCCGACAGCAGCCGCAGAAGGAGCGTGAAGGCTTCCGGGCCCGTGGCTCCGTCGTCCAGCCTCCGCTTGACTTGCTGAAAATAATCAGAAATGGAGAAGACAAGGTCGGACGTAGTAGGTTTGTCAGGGGTGATCGCACTCGAAATTCGCTTTTCGAGAGGGCGTTCCCAACCTCGGACAGCAATATATCTGTGAGCGCAGATCGAACGGTGCGAATGAGCTGCTGGTACGCATCAGCCGGCAGCAAAGACGCAGGGAAAGACATAGTGGCAACACGCTCAACTTTTTTAGGATTGAGGGTGATGTACTCACGTTGGACACGAGCAATGTGTGCGGCATCTACTGCCGAGGCAGCAGCGGCAACCGTTGCGTGTCGAGCGTGAGCAGTGGTGGAATAAAGGGGCAAGACACTATCATCGGTTGGCGCACTCGCTATGGTGAGGGGCTCAATTTTCACAGACGAGGGAGCAGCTTCAACAGCAGCTCCACAGGGTTCGGTCTTTATAGACGGTTTCTCATCTGCCACACCACGAGAATCTGTCAACTCGACACACTTGTCACTATCACGCAACAAAGTGTTCGAAAACACAAAATGACCATCACGCAAAAGAGCGTTAAGACGATCGTCAAAAGCTACATCCACGAGAGACGGTTCTACTTGCCTGGATATCCTGCCCGAAGAAGTCTTCCGAGGAAGGCTACGTTCCGAACCGGAATCCGAGGATGCTCCTCCAGCCGTGTCCGAAGACGGGCGGGAGGTGCGGCTCTTCTTTTTTACTCCTTTCTTGTCCGCGCGCTCCGAAGAGCTGGACGCTGAAGAAGACGGCTGGGCGCGACCACGGTTGGAAGACGTAGACCCGCGGAGGTGGCTGCTGTCGCTGTCGCCCGAATCGCCGCCGCCGCTCCCGCGACCGCCGCTCTTGACGGGCGCCTTCTTCTTGGTTGTGAAATCTTCGAACGCGGGAACCGGGGGAGGGGCAGAGCGATGACACCCCGGCCACACCACCATGGACCCGGGGTTCGGAGACGGTTTACCTTCGAGCTAGCTCGTTTTCTGTCGATGCGAACTCGCGATGTGTTCAAACGTCATGGGCTACTGGTCGACCAACTTCAACCAGGGCCAATCGGTTGGGATCTCTGCGACAACGATAGTGGTGAGAGTAATTCTTTGGGAGTGACGAAGACGAAGGAAAGGGAAAAGGGAGAAAGGAGGATGAAGACGACGATGGAGCAGGAAAACATGGAGGAGTGGAAGATGAAGGCCGGGACAATGGGGCTGGCGCAAGGGCACCAACCTCATGTGCGGGACGCGGCTGAACTTCTCCAGAAAGCATGGGCCAGCGTCACCCCCCAGGATATTGCCAGGTGAGGTGTGAACATTGCCATCGCGATTTTGAATGTTCAGCTAGCGCGCGTGCACCTGGCTTCTGTGGTGCGATACTTGGGTGTGTACAGTTGTTCGGTTTTCTTTTTTTGGCCGAGTATTCCAGCATCTGGACATCTCCAGTGTATCTTCACTACCAAAAGGGTTGTCTCTCACATCCCGATGGGTCAATTGTTCGTCTAACATCGCTTGTTCACCCAAAAACCGATGAATCGCATTTTCTGCGCTACCTCGCACCAGGTGCTTCGTCAAAGCCGAGACGCTTCCAGAGGACATGGCGGCGGAGCTCACCAAGCAACACGGAAAGACCCGGTTCGACATCGCCGAGCCTGACCTGAAGGCTCTCACGGAGACTGTCAACACGTTGAGCACGAGCGTGAGCGACGCACAGAAGCAGGGATCCGCCGTCATAGATGACGAGATCGCCGAACTGCTGGCAGAACTCAACATCGAGCCTGGACAGCCGCTCGGGGGGCAAGCGGTGAGCGCAATTCAGGGATGGGCTACCATCGAGGACGATGCTGAGGTGGTAGAGGCTCTTCGGCTGGACGCGGCGGACGACATGGCGGCATTGCTAGCTGGAGCGCGCATTTCTTCCGGCTGCGATGAGGAAGATGAAACGGAAGATGGCGGTGGCGGTGAGAACACGGGGCGCGAGCGCCGTGCTCCACCGGCTTATAGTGAGCTGTCACCTCACTTCGGCGTCCTGGAATCGGCAGCAGATGAGAGTGGCAATGGAGACGCGGCGTTCCATCTGCAGAAAGCAAANGGACGTTCGCAAGGGTGCGGGGTGCATGCTTGCTTGATTTTTATATTTCTTTGCAGTGACCTTCCTGCATGTTTTTCTCTCTTTTTTACTTGTGTTTTTTTTTTCTTTCAACATAGCAGCCGGTGCGGCAGGGGTCAGATAAATTGGCACGACGGAGTGAGGTTGCGCCTGGCTGGTTGTGTGTGTGTTGGTTCTTGCTAAATCGAAGCCAGGTGCGCCAGGGAGACAGAAGAGTTTGATCATCACGTAATGATGGCAGGGGCCAGCAGTACATGGTTGCTCGTGTTTTTGCAGTGGGCTTTCTGTCGTATTTTTTTTATACACGCAAGTCTTTTTCTATCACCAACATCGAGGGAAGGCAGGCAACGAGGACTGAGAGTTAGCTTCGTCCACTATTAATCCACAATCTCGATCCATTTCGTACTCTGTTGGCCCCGCAAAGCGCGGACGCCACACTCACAACGTGAAGTCGAAGAGTGCCTCAATAGTACAGAACCTGCACTATCGAGGGCACCCTTTTCAGTAGTGCAGGTAAATTCTCACGACAGACCTCTGCACTAAATAGGGCCCACTACTGTAGGTTCATTCGAAAGCCCTGGTCCGTAGCTTTCGAATGGTATGTATTTCATTAGGTAAATACCCTGGCTCCGAAGAAAAATAAATCAAGATGCCTGTGGGCGGGTCCTCGACAATTACCATTTTGTCTAAATTGCTCCACGTGAAGGGTGGGGTTGTTGGACAGGTTCGTCTTTAGCCGTGAACGTAGGGCAGGTAGGCGTAGCTACTCCCGGACAGAGTACTGCTGTGAAAGTTATGGTAACTGGTAGTTTCTGGTGCATGTAAAACACTTCTGAATGCCATGAACTGGGACCCCGTGAGCGGGCGGCATGGGGGAGGCTAAGCTTTTTTTCTCCGGATTTAAGACAGAAACGGTAGCAACAGAGGAAAACTGCACGGACGTGTCTACCAAGGCTGCTACCTTGCACTCGAGTTCGTTTTGGAGTGTTTTCACCATCGTCATCCTCCCGTGTCTATGTATGTTGTCATTGCGGGCGGCAGGCACAACTGCTGTGAGCGCTGACTTGAAGCGAAGACAAGAAAAGAAAAAAAAGTCTAGACTACGCGCACCAGCCGGGGTCACATAAAGGAGGACGTTCAACACCCTGGAGTTCCAAATCTAGGGGTCCGCGTCGGTTGGACCAGTATGGACATGAGAAGGTACTGAGCGGAGACCGGAACGGTTTTTTTAATGTGAAAACAACAACAACAACGTGGAGAAAATATGATGATAATAGTCTATTCCGGTACTACTTTTTTTGAATATCTGCCAATAACATCCGAGGTATAATTAATATCAGATGAATCAGAGGATAATTTACGGGTACTCTGTATCACACGAGAGTCGGAGACATTCATCCACGGATAAGCGCGGAGGAGGGAAAAACGCCATAACACAAGAGGGAGGAAAGGCGCTGCTGCGGAAGCGAGCACAAAACTGTCGTACAGGTTCTACACGCCCGCCGTGTGTCCCCGGTGTGGAGGACAGGCGTAGAGAGAGGAGGTGTTGTTACCGTTGGTGTACATGCTAAAGAATGCCAAGATCGATCTGAGCGGAATATCGTTGAACAACAGGAAACCCTGCTGGATGCGACTCTTCCAAAGCCACCTGCGGGAATGGGTAGTGAGAGGTCCTCGGCTCCCCTCTCCTACTTTTCTGTTAATATTGGAGCTAAGTGTGGGGTGGGGGATTTGAACCCGGCTCTCTTTCACCAAAACCAGGCATCTCATCGCCATGCATGCCAAATAAATGTGAATAGAGGGGACACGGGGTCAACGAAAAAAAATAAAACAATAAACGTTTGAATGATTATCAAGTGACGTTGAGATATAACGATGCGACCGCGATGACATTGACCATGTGTCTTCCTGCGTCGCCCCCGGGAGGCAAGCCACCTAACTCCCCAAGGGGAACGTTGTACAATTGTATATTGCCGATCTAGAAATAGCCGTCGATCGGCACAGATGTTTACACAACCATCGACAACGCCATGGGTATCGATAGAACATTATGACACCTTCGTCTAGCAACAGGTAGCGAGTGAACGTGCAGCGCCCTATCGATCAAGATAGGTACGAACGACAACACATCGGCCGTGGTGTGACCGCGCACCGCCGTCACGCCTGTTTGGGGATGGCGGAGAAACAGCACCAATCTGGTGTGCACCATCATGCGCATACGGTGTCGGCGGCGGCGGGGATTCTTTCCGGGTAGCAGGTGGCGGGCCCAGGGTATCGTTTCCTCCGATCGGAATGGGTGTCCCTTTCCGGGTAGCAGGTGGCGGGCCCAGGGTATCGTTTCCTCCGATCGGAATGGGTGTCCTCCTGCCGTTGCTGGTGCGGTTCACCCCGGCCGTGCTCCAGGCTGTCCCCACCGTTTCTCTTATACACATCTAGATGTGTATAANCTAGTCTGTGCGATCCTCACGTCGCATCACGCAAGACTGCACGTACAACACGTGTGAGTGCGTCTGCCCATTTTCTCAACTAATTTCCCAACACTTTGGAAGGAGTCGATGGCAACGGGAGAGGGTCCTTTTATCGGCAAACCTCGAGGAANCCTGCCGTTGCTGGTGCGGTTCACCCCGGCCGTGCTCCAGGCTGTCCCCACCGTTGCAAGGAGGGGCCGGCGGGTCGGGGTCCGTGCTCTTCGAGGATCGTCGGCGATATAGGAAGAACCCAAGTGCTCCTAACGTCAACGCGCCGGCCACAGCGCCGACTACAACGCCCACCATCGATGCGCCCTCTTTGTCCAAACCAGCAGCGGAATAGCAGCGATGAGCGTTGATGGAGGCGGGACTCTGTTAGGCAACGACTGGTAGCAGGACAGCCACATTTCGACTTATCAACCGAAGAATTTCAGGGCTAGTCTGTGCGATCCTCACGTCGCATCACGCAAGACTGCACGTACAACACGTGTGAGTGCGTCTGCNCGTCCAGACGAGCAGCGGAATAGCAGCGATGAGCGTTGATGGAAGCGGGACTCTGATAGGCAACGACTGGTAGCAGGACAGCGACATTTCGACCTATCAACCGAAGAATTTCAGGGCTAGCCAGTGTGATCCTCACGTCGCATCACGCAAGACTGACTGCACGTACAACACGTGTGTGTGCACCTGCCTATTTTCTCAACTAATTTCCCAGCACTTCGGAAGGAGTCGATGGCAACGTAAGCTGAGCAGAGATATTTAGGTACACACAGACACATTGAACAAGCGCACGTCTAATCCTACGGNCACCCCCTCTCGCTCTCAAACATTGGCCAGAATGAGGCCATGGGTTTACCCTTCCTTGAGGTAAGCCGCAAGCTGACCGTAGGTATTAAGGTAGATACGTAACACATTGAACAAGCGAACGTCTAATCCTACGGAAGAGTATACCGCAGGGAGTTCGACGAGGGAACCGATGGGGG